CTAGTAACAAGAAGCTACTAGGGGCTCCTGGCCTTACTACTAGGAGCAAGAGCGCTACTAGGGGCTCCTGGCATCGCTACTAGGGGCATTCTTACTATAGTATAGCCTTACTACTAGGAGCAAGAACGCTACTAGAGGCTCCTGGCATCGCTACTAGGGGCATATTTACTACGGCAAAACTAGGAGCTCCTGGCCATACTACTAGGAGCAAGAACGCTACTAGGGGCTCCTGGCGTCGCTACTGGGGTTATTCTTACTAGTAAGCCTTACTACTAGGAGCAAGAACGCTACTAGGGGCTCCTGGCATCGCTGCTAGGGGCATTCTTGCTAGTAACAAGAAGCTGCTAGGGGCTCCTGCCCTTACTACTAGGAGCAAGAACGCTACTAGGGGCTCCTGGCATCGCTATCACGGGCATTCCTACTAGTAATAAAAAGCCTTACTACTAGGAGCAAGAACGCTACTGGGCGCTCCTGGCATCGCTACTAGGGGCATTCTTACTAGGCCTTACTACTAGGAGCAAGAACGCTAATAGGGGCTCCTGGCATCGCTACTAGGGGCATTCTTACTAGTAACAAGAAGCTACTAGGGGCGCCTGGCCTTACTACTAGGAGCAAGAATGCCACTAGGGGCTCCTGGCATCGCTACTAGGGGCATTTTAACTAGTAACAAGAAGCTACTACAGGCTCCTGGCCTTACTACTAGGAGCAAGAACGCTATTAAGGGCTCCTGGCATCGCTACTAGGGGCATTCATACTATAGTAAAACTAGGGGCTCCTGGCCTTACTACTGAGCAAGAACGCTACTGCAAGAACGCTACTAGGGGCTCCTGGCATCGCTACTAGGTGCATTCTTACTAGTAACAAGAAGCTACTAGGGTCTCCTGGCCTTACTGCTAGGAGCAAGAACGCTACTAGGGGCTCCTGGCATCGCTACTAGGGGCATTCTTACTAGTAACAAGAAGCCACTAGGGGCTCCTGGCCTTACTACTAGGAGCAAGAACGCTACTAGGGGCTCCTGGCATCGCTACTAGGGGCATTCTTACTAGTAACAAGAAGCCACTAGGGTCTCCTGGCCTTACTACTAGGAGCAAGAACGCTACTAGGG